TAAGCTAGCTCTCAGTTATGGCATAAATGCTTGAACTGACTTTTAGGAAAGATTAGGAAACTGAGGAAAGTAACAAACACCATCACATAACCGGTAATATAGACTTAATGGGATACTAAAGCATACTGTCCTAAATTAGACACCCAAGCATAGTCTTAAACACCTCTGCATGTGTTCATACGGCCATAAACCAATGAAGAAGTCCAAACCAGTCTATCATGCTAACTGAAATAACGGGAAAAAGGTTTGGAAAAAGAACAGTCAAAATTAACTGCTCCAGCAGCTCAAGCTGTTAACTCTGAAGATCCCTAATTTAATATGCCATTGCTTTCTTCAAGCTCTTTGGTATTTTGATAAACTTCTCCCTGGAATTTCAGAATTTCTCAGAAGTCAGACATGATATGTGGCATAATGTAATTTTTACATTAATAACATGTCTGCTCTGACATCGAAGGAGAAGAAGCAGTTATACGGAACAAAACAGGCACAAGATCGTGTTATTACGGATAAAGAAAACTTCAGCAAGGTGCATGGAAATACAATTTACAAGTCACTTATACTGCCGTGCTCATCTCCTCTAGTTCCTTTCTCTTAGACTTTAATCGTTTAGATCTCATCACATATATATATGCACACGTGTGTGCGTACTCTGAAGTCTAGACTAAAAGTGAAACAGCCAGTCAAAAAACCTAAAATGTTTACATGATGAAAACTTCTTTTTAAACTACATTTTCATCAAATCAGCTACTTTTCCATGCCATGCACGCTTAAATTCTGCATTGCAGAATTCTTTATAAAAGCGGAGAGGCTTATGAAATTATTTTAGCATTCCTCTAACAATAGAAAGGTGTTACATATTTGCAATTGTCTCTGGCTTTTTAGACCATGTCATCGGAATTTACAGATACAGCTGTCAGTTACCAGAGTGAAAAACGCATTGATCTCAAAAAAAAAAAAAAAAAAAAAATAATTAAACTGCTTTAAAAACCAAAGTTTCTAAAGATGATATACTAATAACAAAGATTCACATTTCTACCTACCTTTTACACTATTTATGCTAAAATTACTTGCCACTCTGTATTTTGGGTATTTGGTGTCAAATTAGACTTTAAAAAAAAAAAATAATCATTTTTCCTGCTCTTATGCCAAATTTGACTGTTGGTTTTTATTGGAACATCAAAAGCAGGCTTTTAATTCTCACAGTTTTGATGCTTAATGAAAAGTGAAAGTTAAACACAGCATGGCAGCATTAAAAATGCATGGTAAATCCATAGCACCCTGACATCTTAGCCCTGCAGAGGATGTGAAGAAAAGCCATTGTAAACAAAAGATAATACTACTAAATACAAAGCAAATTAATTAGATGGTCTGACAGACTCTTAAACAAAGAAAAAATGGAGGGAGAACATATGTACAACTATCTTCCAGCAAAGACATCACAGTGGTCTGTCAGCAGCACAGTCATATATTGAATTTAAGTTTATGTTTTTGTTTTCAGACTTTGCTCTTGAGAACCTGGAAACTGATGTATAAGCTAGCATAGTCAAGAACTTGGACAAAGAAGGGGATTTGCATCCTCAGCTGTACCACATAACCCAGATGGCAAGGACTTATGGCTCTGAACCACTTCTTTTACAAACTACAGACTGCTAAGGATTGTTATCGGTTGAACTGTCTACACTAAACCCAAATTTAACCAAACTGAGAATTTCCTTTTTTGCAGAGTTTTTTGCAAGTTCCTGTGTCTCATTTCAACAGGGACAAATAAATGCCCCTTCTGAAGCTCCCGGCGCTTGCTGTTTTCTGAAAACTCTGATCTCTGATAGGCGGAAACTGAGCTGTAAGCTCAACAGTAGTACCTGAGATCATCTGGTTTTCTCTCTGCAGTCTTCTAGGAATTAAGCTTCTCATCCAGAAAGTAAAAGCAATAACAAAATATTTTACTATTTTTATGCATTTTTTGTTTTAAAAAGAGAGACAATACTGCTACTGTTGGCAATATATTAAACATTTTAACATTCATACATTCCACACAATGGTTGTGCACAAATGGGAACAAGCAGACTAAAACCAGTTTGCCCTCAGGAAACAAAGATGTGTCTCACGGCACGCTCTTGGCAATAATATAAGGTGTTTATAGCCCTTAATTTTGCTTTCTTTCACATGTATTTAGCTGATTTTTCTTTTGCTTTCACCTGATCCAAAGTTATACTTTAACAACTTATGAGAAGCTTGTACAGACACGGCAATCTAAAAAGAAATATATAGCTGCAGTGAGCATACCACTGTAACTGAACTCTAGCATTTGGGTCATGAGGCAACAGCAGAAGAAAATTATCAGAAATCTTGCTGCTACCCCTTGTCAAGCTTCTAAGGACAGCAGAGTTCCTGAAAGCTGAGCATTTTAGTGTAGATTCCTGCATAATTTACACACACAGTACTATCGCAAGCTACTCAGGGTAAAGAAATAACTAAGAGTATGCCAGAAAAGGCAGCAGTCAGTGTGCCTGAAATTAGGCAGCTCTCCAGAATTGTCTCTTTCCCCACTCCCTCAATCCTGCAGTATTGGAGCAATAGTTGCCACTCAAGCCCATGAGCTGCTTATTTGCTGTTGTCTTAAAAAGGGAAAAAATTACGATTCCTTTTAAAACCAAGAACTTAGACTGAGTTTTCCTCTTCTAAATCTAACACTAATTTTAGTACAGGCAACAAAATAAGATTCAGACGTTTTAATGTAACAGGGTAATGGATGGTAAGAGAGATCCTTAAAATAAACCAACCTCTCTTTGCTTTATCACAGGGCCATAATCTATTTCAAAGATACCAATTCAGGATACTGTCGAATGCGCATTAGCACTTAAAGGGTGCAAGTAGAAAAGCAATGCTTCAAACTGATTAAAAGACACCTGTGGCCAAAAAGATTGGGTTTAGAACTCTTCACTATAATTTACATAAAAAGCTGATTTACCTTTGTGCCAATGTTCCTAAAATTACTTAGATTTATATTGTTTATGGTGCATTTAACTTAATTTAAACTAACATAGTGAAAATGACTAAGTGATTTTTTTAACCAGGGGTTAGAGTGCTCTGAGGTATCTCTACATAGGCACGTGAACTGGAATTCAGTAGTCTTTCATTTTGCAAAATGAATACAGACAACTGAAAACCCATAAGAATGCGTCTTCCTACGTACAGAATCACTTAACCACTGAGTATATAAAATTAGTGTGTTTAATATGGACTTAGATGTCGTCCTGATCAGAAAGTTGTTTTTTTTAATTAGATAGAGATATGAAGGTTCCCAGAAGAAATGTGGGCAAAAGTGAGATGTTTCTGGAGTGAATTACTGCATCAGTTCCACTAACAGACACAGAAAGTTACTGAAATTGAACTTACGATATTTTCACAGCTTGTCCTGAGGGGTCTCTTTAAGGAGACCTACTCCTTATTTGTTATATAAGATCTAGTGCAAAAAGCTTATGGAATGTAAGCTGTCATCTTACATCTGTGCAAATTGAGGAATAGAGACATTATCGTATTAACTTTCTTAATTGTGCCCTGAATATTTGTTTAAAGCCATCAGCAAGGTTGCAAAAATCAACAGGAGAGTCGTCTTAAAAATGATGGACAATGATCCTACCTACTTTTACTATGCATTCATATGCATAATCAAACAAATTTTAATAAATATTATTTTTCCTTACTCTTAAAATTATAATTTGGCATAATTAATATGCTTCTATTTAATAACCACTTCAGACGAAATTATACATTGTCTTTTAGGTCTGAGACTCTCCACAGGGAAGTAGCTAGATTTAGAAGTACCTACTAAAACTTTCTATGGCAATGATTGGGAGAAAAAACAAACAAACCAACCCCCACACAAACAAAAAAGGGTCCTTCCTTGAAACCAAAGTTCATCTTTATACGAACAGCCCCATCTTTCCAGATCAGCCGCGCTACTTCTCTTT